ATGGCAGTGGTAGCTGGGCACCATCTAGTTCTTCTGGTCTCATAGTTGTATAGGTTGCAGATCGGATGGTGTACCAGTCGCTAGGACTGATTGGAACGTCTTCTTAATTAAAGGAGTCATCAGAGCTTAGAAGGCTTTTCATGGTGTTCTGTCATCGTCCAACATAACCCCTGGGCCCTCTCCACCCCAGGGCCGGATCTCCTTCTACATGACCAACTACGGTGAGGAGGGGACGCACGTGGGGAGTGCAGCCGCCCTGGACAGCACGGACCTGGTGTTTGGCCAGTACCGGGAGGCAGGTACATCACCCCTGCCCCCTGCAGAGCACGTGCCACAGAGGCCTGAGTGTGTGGACACTGTTGAGGTGGGTCAGGCCCAGTCCTCTGGGGTGAAGGTAAGGCCCACGTTAGTTACCCTGAGTGCTCTCGCAGGAATGGCAGCATCAGGAGGGTCTGAGGGGCTGGAGGAAGCTCTTTGCTAGCAAGAGAGACCAGCCGAGGGCTGGGCTTTCCCCCTGAAGACTGGACAGTGTAGTGGCTAAGAGCACGGTGTCTGCACAGCAACAGACTTGCTTCGCCAGGAAATAACGACTGCCTTGAGTGTGAGGCTCTTTCAGGAACTATCTGTGTGGATCCAAGTGACAGCAGCAGCTTGGAAGAGAAGAACCTGAGAAGGCAGCGAGTTTATGGGGTGGGGAGGAACAGCTGGGAAAGGAGAATGAGGATGTGTTGGCACAGCTCGGAGACTACAGTCAGGGTCACTGAGTTGTACGTGTAGGAACAGTCACACCGATCTGTGTGCTGTGTATATTCTCAATAACAAAGAAATGATTAAAACAACAGACGAGAGCACAGGAGTCTGGCTGCCTGTGTTCCATCCCGGGCTTTGCTAGTTACCACTTGTTGGATTTTGGGCAAGTCACTCCCCTGCACTGAGCCTGTGTTCACATCTCCTCGATGGGGATGAAGATGGTTCGCACACCGTGGGCTTGCTGGGAGGACGCGGTGAGATCAGGCCGCGGTATGGCACAGACTGTGGACCCGAGTCCATGAGGTGTGGGCCCTACTGACCTCCTCCAGGCACTGCGTCCTCCAGGGAGCAGAAGCAGGTGGGAGGGCCTCACCGGACCCCCATGCAGGATGATCGGGGGCCTAGTGGATTCCAGGCAGGGACCTGGTGAACTAAAATGAAGCCTCAGAGAACAGGAGTGAAGAAAACAGATGACAACTAAGTGACCAGGAGTCAGGGAGCTGGCCCAGGGAGCTGTGAGTGGGGGTGCCAGCAGCAGTGGTCAGCATGGAGGCCCTGCAAGGGGGCTGGCCTGTAGGTGTCAGGGAGCACTGTCGGTGCCAGTGAGGCTAGTCTCAGCCCTTCCTCTCGGGTGCTGCACAACCTTGGACAAGTTGCCTAATTGCTTCACACCTGTTTCTTCATCTATGATGGAAGATGGTAACCCTTCCTAAGACGGTTATTGAGGGGATTTGTGGGACAGCCACAGTCCTCCCCTGGTGCAGGGTGCGCGCTCAGTGGAGGCTGATGCGCCTACTGGAGCCTCTCCCTGGGACAGCCCTTCACCAGGGGTGCGCTGCGGGGAGGAGGGGCTGCCCAGAGCCCTACCTGGGTAAGCACAAGGTTCAGTCTGCTCTCGGACATCCAGACCCTTCAACTAGAACAGGCCACCAACTCCCCATGTCCTCTGGGAGGGCACGTGCCCTGTGATGTTTGCCTCACGGTCAGCAGCATTACCAGGGAAAACCAAATGTCTTCAAACCATGTAGCAAGCCCAGTCCGCCCATTCTTGTGAAGGGGTCTCTCTAGTGAAGGCTCTGAGACGGCGTGTGGGAGGCTAGAGCGAACCACAGGAGGCAGCTGGGGTCTGCACACGAGGGGCTCTCTGGGCCCTGGCAGGAGTGAGCCCTCCACCTCCGGGGGTCAGCACAAGGCCCTTTACCAGGAGGCTGCGGGCCCAGGAGGAGGCATGGTGTGAGGCATGGAGTGAGCCGGTCACCCGCAGCCAGCCCTGGGTCCGTTTCTGTGTCTGTGAGATGGGGCAGTAATGGTATGTGGAACAGGAACATCACGGGACTCTTCTTCAGGCCAAGGTGCTGGTCTAAGTACTCAAAGAGATCGCAGGCCCTCGTCTCACTGCACCTTCGCATCAGGGCTGAAGTCACCATCCGAGGACACACGTGGGGTCAGGTCAGGCCAGGGCTTGTATTGCCTCATTTAACCTCACCAACGAGGTGAGGCCAGCATTCCTGTTGCCCCTCTCACAGATGGAAGCCCGAGGTCACATGCCTCCTGCTAGGTGGAGCAGGTATCCCTGTGGCATTCTGTCCCCTGGGACGCCCTCATGTCTCACCGTCAGGGTGGCCCTCGAGGGCGCTGCTCTCACAGGGCTGATGGAAGACAAACCAAGGGAAGCTCGTGGAGGGCTGACGGTGGCTCCTGCAGTGACCCTCAGGAAAGAGGTTGATGTGGTGGCAGGTGTCAGCTAGAGCAGTGGTCTCCAGACACACAGCTTCCTAGTGTGGTCGGAGGCAGCTACACACCCCCGCGTTGGGACTGAGTATGTACTGTTCATCCCTGCTCCCCCCCGGCCCTGCCCTGTGACTCTCAGGCTGATCTGGACCACGTTGTGAGGAAGCCTGATCCCAAGATTGTGTGACGGTACCTTGGGCTGCCTCAGTGGCTGTTCACAGGGCCTTACCTCCTGCCTCCACCAGAGCACCTCCTCTTTATCTGTTTTCCATACAGTGCAGCCACATTCTATGAAAAATACAAATTAAATTAAAGGTGACCGTTAAGGATGCTAAGCATCCCACAACCCTGACTAATTTTGTGTCTTTAGTTACCAAGCTCATTGTCTAAGTGACACTGACTCTGACCGCTGCCGCCACATCAGACTCTTTCTGAGGGTCACTGCGGGAGCCATGGTTGGTTGGCCCTCCATGCGTATCCCTTGGTTTGTCTTTCATCAGCCCTGTGGGAGCAGCGCCCTGGAGGGCCACCCTGATGGTAAGACGTGAGGACTGTCCCTGGGGATCGAATGCCACAGGGATACCTGCTCCACCTAGCAGGAGGCATGTGACCTCGGGCTTCCATCTGTTAAGAAAAATTAACAGAAATTCTCCCCACTTTCTTTTCTCAGGATCGGTCTTGGATTGTGGGTTTTGCATTATGCCAGCTTCCAACCTCACCACTTAATAGTTTGTGATCTGGGGCGGTTACAGGAACACTCCCCTCTCAGATTCCTCATCTGTAAATGAGGAAGAGGTGGTGTAGTGCCTAAGGCATTTGACTGCTAACCAGAAGGCTGGCAGTTCAAACCCACCAGCCACTCCTCAGAAAGAAGGTTGGGCAATCTACTTCTGTAGAGATACTGCCTGGGAAACCCAAGGAGGGGTTGCTATGAGTCAGATCCGACTCAACGGCTGTGAGTTTGTTTTTTGTTTGGTTTGGTAATACCATCTATCTCATAGGGAGAGGTAAGGGTTAATTGTATGAATATATGAATAGGGTCCCTAATAGCACTTGGCAGGTAGGAATTGTGTTCAGTTTTGCTGTTGTTCAGCAAATCCACTGCATGAAATGTGCTCCTCATTAAATTTTCATCTGAAGAAAGGGATCTGCAGGAAGGAAAAGGGTTTGGAAACCTTTGCACCAGACAACACTCCCTCTGTAGACGGTTTGTGTCTGCAGAGTGCTTCCCAGTTGGGAAATGGAAGCCCTGGACAGGAACGGGCTTCCCCGGTGCCGTGAGGGGTTGGTCTGACACCCCTGCACTGCCCCGCCCCAAGGCTAACCCATGCCCTCCACCTCCAGGTGTGCTGATGTATCGGGACTACCCGCTGGAACTGTTTATGGCCCAGTGCTATGGCAATGCAAACGACCCGGGCAAAGGACGCCAGATGCCCGTCCACTATGGCTGCAAGGAGCGCCACTTCGTCACCATCTCCTCACCGTTGGCCACGCAGATCCCACAGGGTGAGGAGGACGCCCTCGGCCTCATACACACAGGACAACTTCCTACCCCTGCGCAGGTGCCAGCCCTCCTCTGTCCTGGCTGGGCTTCCAGGTTGCCATCACGTTCAGACACTCTCTTGTCTTTTGCTCTGTTCTGTGATCCTCTTGTTTGAGACCCTGCAGAGGACTCTGGTGGCATCCTCCCCTGTCCAGTGGGTTGAGCGTGAGACCACATTCTTAATTTCCCAGAATGGCGCCCACCCCTTTCGGCTGTTGACACACGTAACTGATTCTGAGTTACTGAGCAGGTACCAAGTTCCAGGACCACGCTGTGCTCTGCTTCTACTGTCCAGTAGGACACTCACAGTGGCCATAGGTGGTGAATATTGTTGTTATTATTATTCCATTTTATAGACCAGGAACCTGAAGTCAAAGAGGGAAGGTCACTTGCCAGAGGTCTCATGACAGCTAGTGAGAAGAGTGGGGATTCAAGTCACAAACTCCAAAGCCCAGGTCCTCACCCCCAGCCAGCTTTAACCCCAAGTCTAACAGATGCCCCCAGCGCTTCCTCGAACCTACAGCGCTGAGAGCCGTAGGTGTGGCTTCTGCTAGGAAAGGGAAATGCGGGGAGTGTGTCCTCCCACACCAGCCTGTGCCCTCCCAATGGGGCCAGGGAATCGGACCCCTGTCCCACCCTTGGGGGCATGCAGTCTGGTCAGGGGCTCAGTCTGGCTTTCTGCCACAGGGCAGCCGAGGCACTGAGTGTACATCTCCACAAGGCTTGGCAGAGTGCCTGGCACCCCAGGAGCACTGTGTTCTGTGTGGGCGCCAGGAGCCTTGATGCCTTTCAGGTTGAAGGTGGGCCAGGACACTTTCTTGGAGGAGGTTGGTTTGAGCTGAAGTGAGCCTTTTTGGCTCCTGCTCACCTCCCCCTTGTTAATCTCTCCTCCAGCAGATGTATGGGGTCCCTGCTCTCTGCTGGGTGCCCTTCTGGGCACAGTGAACAGAACAGACCCAAACCGTAGCCCTCGTGGTACCATGTTGTGGTGTCGAGGTAGACAGTAAATGAGACAAAATAAAACAGTATCCGGGACACAGAGTCCTGTAGAGGACCATGGAGCTGTGAACGGGGTGGAGCAAGGAGGGGGCCGGTGACTCTGGAAGGGAAAGTGGAAGCATTCCTGAGAAGGTGACGTTTAAGTCAAGAGCAGAGGAGGTGAGGAGGGACCCACGTGGGCATCTTGGGCAGGAGTATGCCTCTGGGTTGGAGGAGGGGCTAGAGCCTGAGGCCGTGGCAGGGGTGGGGGCCTGGGGGGGGGGGGGGCGGGGAGACAGAGAGGTGGGACCCGGGGCCTCTCCCTCTTGGACTTGTGGAGGGCTTTGGCTCCAGTGGGATGGGAGCTGTGCCTCCTCCCTGGAGCTGTGGGATGAATGACCTGGCTCCCATTTTAACAGTCCTTCCTGTGCCTGCGGGGTGGGGGAAGAGCCTGGGGGGTTACAGCTGAGCTGGGGGCAGTGAGGAGGCTGCTCAGTAGCCAGGCAGGAGGTGAGGGTGGCCTGACCGGTGTCCTGTGGCCAGGTGGATGTGGCGAATGGAGTCAGGAGCCAGAGGAGGTGCCGTGAGAAGGATGGTGCTGCCATCAGCTGCCAGGCTGAAGACGGGGTTGAGGAGGTTCTGGGGGAAGAGCAGGAGCTTGGTTTCTTTCTCCTCGGGGCCACTGACAACCTGGGTCTAGAGGCCTGGGTCAGCTCTGCGTGTGTGTGGGAATGAGCGTATGTGAGTGTGTATGAGTATATGTCTGAGTGGGAATTTGAGTGGTGTCAGAAAGTGTGTGCATTTGTGTGCATGAGTATGGATGGTGTGAAAAAGTGTGTGTGTGTGTATGTATGTGAGTGTGAGTGGTGTGAGACCGTGTGAGTATGTGAGTGAGTGTGAGTGCGTGGGTGCTCCTGCTCCAGTTCACCTCCCTTTCGTTCCCTGCAGCGGTGGGAGCAGCCTATGCAGCCAAGCGGGCCAATGACAACAAGATCGTCATCTGTTACTTTGGTGAGGGGGCAGCCAGTGAGGGGGATGCCCATGCCGGCTTCAACTTCGCCGCCACCCTTGAGTGCCCCATCATCTTCTTCTGCCGGAACAATGGCTATGCCATTTCCACTCCTACCTCCGAGCAGTACCGCGGGGATGGCATCGGTACGGGTCTTGTGGGCCGCTCCCCAGCCGCCTGCCTCCTCACCTCCATGCATTTATCTGCTTCCTCCTGCCAACACCTGTCCCTTCTCTCCCCACTCCTCCTCCCTGGATCTTCTTCCGGCGGCGTCTGGATAGTGAGAAACTGAGTAGACATGTCTGAGTTCCTCTGCTCTCCTCACCACGCCCACCTTTCCTTCCTTCTCCCCCCTCATCTGAGCCCTGGGGCCTGACCTGTCTTCTCTGTCCCCACAGCGGCTCGAGGCCCTGGGTATGGCATCATGTCGATCCGTGTGGATGGCAATGATGTGTTTGCTGTGTACAACGCCACAAAGGAGGCCCGGCGGCGGGCAGTGGCCGAAAACCAGCCCTTCCTCATTGAGGCCATGACCTACAGGTGCCTACCTCTTCCCGTCAGTACTCTCAGCCTTGGCAGCCACCATCTGTGGCCTCACCCCCATACTGAGCACTGTCCCCAAAGCAGAACCCCATTGCCTCATACAATACACTGTCTTGCCTGTCTTTCTTCCACTTCTGCCCCCTCTCCCCTCCAGTGCCCTCCCTGCTGACCCTGTGTGCCTCCTTCCCCTGGGCAGGATCGGGCACCACAGCACCAGTGACGACAGCTCGGCCTACCGCTCCGTGGACGAGGTCAGCTACTGGGACAAGCAGGACCACCCCATCTCGCGGCTGCGCCACTACCTGCTGAGCCGCGGCTGGTGGGATGACGAGCAGGAGAAGGCCTGGAGGAAGCAGTCCCGCAAAAAGGTGAGGGCCTGCCAGGCGGCAGACGCTGGTGTGTCACGGGGACCCGGGAAGGATGGAGGGGCTGGGGGCAGTGGACTGGGAGACTGGGGGATAACCCAGGGCTAAGCGTGAGTACAGGATTAAAGACTAAGTCTGCGGTGTGGATTACATCTCAACATAAAGAAAATGAAAATCCTCACAACTGGACCGATAAGCAGCATCCCAATAAATGAAGAAAAGATTGAAGTTGTCAAAGGTTTCATATTACTTGGTTCCGCATTCAACACCAGTGGAAGCAGCAGTCAAGACATCAGACGATATATTGTATCGTGCTGGGCAAACGTGCTTCAAAAGACCTCT